AGGTTTGTCCTAAGTGAGTTGGCTGCAGAGAGAGATGGAGATAGATGGAGGGAAAGTAAACAACAGATGGCTGAAGCGTGTTGCCGCTATTAGCAGCAACAGACGCTGCGGCGGCCCATCACCAGCCTCTTGAGAGGTTACTACGCAACGGTGACCAGGGTCAGAGGTCAAGTGCCTCCTTGATGGCAGCCCAAAATACCAGATTGTCATCCACATGCTGTGCCAGCTGAGACACACGCTGAGAGTTTGTACAGTGTTAAATTGTGTTTTTCTTTGGCTGAAGTTGGCAGTGATTACTCTGGAATCTTCCATGCAGCGTCCGCCCTGAACCAACCTGCCAGCCGTGATGACACACACTGAGGCAGCTGTGTGTCTGTGTGTGTGTCCGAGCGCTGAACTTCTCATGCTGAGAAGTGAACTGAGTGGTAGCACACATTGGCTGCACGCTGCAATGACCTGATTCACTGAGAGAGAGAGAGAGGAAAATACAGACAGAGAATTGGAAAAAGCACACAGACAAAATGGTGTGTGTGTGTGTGTGTGTGTGTGTGTGTGTGTGTGTGTGTGTGTGTGTGTGTGTGTGTGTGTGTGTGTGTGTGTGTGTGTGTGTGTGTGTGTGTGTGTGTGTGTGTGTGTGTGTGTGTGTGTGTGTGTGTGTGTGTGTGTGTGTGTGTGTGTGTGTGTGTGTCATTTCACACAGACTAACACCATGACCACACTTTTGTGGTGTGGTGGTTTGCTCGGAATATCTGCGCTTGTGGGATCTTTGTTTGAAAAATAAAGACAATGTTCTTACCAGCTCTGAAGTACTTTTGATTTGAATAAATAATGACCGTTACTCTTTGATAATTGTATTTTTGGGGTGTATTTTCAGTTCAATATTATTAGCTTTCCAGACATTAAGGAATACTTAACCTCACAATAATCATCTATATATCAATCACTCACCACTTGATACGTTTCATGTAACTTTTTCTCACATGCCTACAAAGTGAATGGAAAATCTTCAATTTTCTGGAATAAGTATCAATTTAAGTCACTACTTCATGAAAGGTGTATACCAACCATAATTTGACATTATAAAACTATATTAAAGTTTGGGGATCTGATTGCAGGGAAGTGTTAACACACAAATATGTTTTGTACTCTCCGCTTGAGGTCTGAGACGCTCTTACCAGAAGGTGCGTCAGTTCCTCTCAGACATACAAATAAATAGTTCTTGTGAAGGGTGAGGTAAAGACGAGCTGCGGATAGATGAAGCACATGAGAGAGAGCAAGTTGTGTCATCATCCACTTCCCTGTCTGCTGGAGGTGTGACTGACTCTTTTCCTGTGAACAGGAAGCACCAGCTGCTGTTCCTGGAAGAGATAACTACGTCACTTTAACCAAACGTGTGTGTGTGTGTGTGTGTGTGTGTGTGTGTGTGTGTGTGTGTGTGTGTGTGTGTGTGTGTGTGTGTGTGTGTGTTTTAAATATTTTGTTTTTACTTCTCAAAGCCCAACCACATTGAGCAAATTGAGAGATTTTGGTTGTATATTCGACTCTACATATGTGTTAACTTCAGTTAAAAGTAATATCAAACAATCTGTTCCTTTTTATAACATTAATTAGAGTTTACATTTATGAGCTTATGATCAATTTTATTCAACTGTTACCACCCCAAATCAACCAAAAGTAGATAGTGAGTTAAACTTAATCTGTATAAAAAACGTATACTTAAAATGTCTCGCCCACAATGGAAACACATAACAGTAAAATTGGAAATAACACCTAAAAATAAACCCTGATTATCAGTGGTTAATGCTCTCTAGAACTTGTGTTTTGTTGTGTAAGCGGACATGTATGTGACAGAACATAAACGGCTTGCTAATTTGACATCACTGTGTTTATCATATACTATACTGTCTTCAAAGTGTGAGGGAAAGTGTAAGTCAAGCTGACTTTTTCAACTTTGTTTAACTTCAGTAAGGGAGATACATTATTACCTGGTGTTTTTGTTTTCCTCCCGTGGTGTTTATATTTTTGCAGACTGAGGCAATTCCCATTCAAATTACATCACCTAAATGAGAGCATGCCTGGTTCAAATCTGGGTAATGTTGCACAACTGGGGAATGTTTGTGAACGTATATTGGTATCGCTGTTTGACTTTGTGAGGAGGATGCAGGATCAGTCAGAGGAAATGTGTGTGTGCTTGTTTATTCTGTTCACAATTTATTTTCTATCAAAAACAAAGCCACACGATATCTGTGAAGCAAGGAGTCTTGCCAACACTTGCCACTGGCTTAATTCCCTTTCTCTTTTAGTTACTCTTTTTGACTCTCTCAATCACTTTCTTTTTGTTCTAGTCCTTAAAGCTTAACCAACAAAAACCAGTTAGTTGCAGGCCTTAAAGTTCTTTCTCTTGTTCTTTTCTCAACAGGAGTGGCAGCATGTCTTTCTGAAGAAAATTGTGGCATGAAACCAGATCGCGAACATCTTCCATTCATCACCTCCTCCTCCTTCATCTCCCTCCTCCACTCTCCCGTTAGGAACTCTCACCTCAGCTCCACCGCATTGATGAGGTAACGACAAGCTCAACGCAGCGCAGCACCAACACCACCCTTCCCCCTTCCTTCTGTCAACCTCTCCACCGCAGCCATGGGGCAGAAGATCTCTGGCGGCATCAAAACGGTAGACGGTCGCGGGGAAAGCGGTGGCTCCCCTTCCTACCGGCCTTCAGCGCACCGCCGGCAGCACCCGGAACTGAGGGGCCCCGATTTCTCCAAACCTACCAGGCTGGATCTCCTTCTGGACATGCCATGTGCCGGACTGGAGACCCAGCACCGCCACGCGTGGAACCCTGACGATCGCTCGCTCAACATCTTCATAAAAGACGATGATAAACTGATATTTCACCGCCACCCGGTTGCTCAGAGCACAGACTGTATCCGGGGGCGGGTAGGGTACACAAGGGGTCTCCACGTGTGGAGGATCCACTGGCCCTCCCGGCAGCGTGGCACCCACGCTGTGGTTGGGGTGGCCACCTCAGAAGCTCCTTTACACTCAGTGGGCTACACAGCGCTGGTGGGGTCGGACTGCGAGTCCTGGGGCTGGGATCTGGGACGCAACAGGCTCTACCACGACAGTAAGAACAGGGCACACAGCACGCTGCCCTCCTACCCCTGTTTCCTGGAGCCGGAGGAGTCGTTCACCTTGCCGGACTCTCTGCTAGTAATTCTGGACATGGATGAAGGGACGCTGAGCTTCATGGTGGATGGACAGTATCTAGGTATCGCATTTCGAGGACTGAAAGGCAAGAAGCTGTATCCTGTCGTCAGCGCTGTGTGGGGACATTGTGAGATCGCCATGAAGTACATCAACGGCTTAGATCGTGAGTAACATATTCCACACTAACAACACCTTAAGGTTAAGCACTCATACTGATCGTGACAGTGGTGCTCTGATTGTGACACAATGTCACCCTATTTCCCAAGCTGTGGTAATACTTTCAGTTTGTGATGCAAGTCTGTAAAGTCTGAGATTTAATATTTGACACACTTTCTTTGGCAGCAAACAGAGTGAGAGTTTGACAGAAAGTCTACATGTTCTGCAATCTTAAAGGGAGTGATGACACCGGTTTCTCTACAGAAACACTCGGTGGTTTTTAACTGGTTATCATGTGTTTTCAAAGTATTACATGCATGGTCCGTGTTTTTGTAGAAGTCTTCAATATGACATTGCAAAATGTGAAAAGAATCAGAGACAGGTTTATTTCCAATAATTGTACATATACAATACATTTGCTTTGGTTGATTGATGCCATTAGTAATATTTGTTGGTGTGAAGTTTCTCTTATAGTGTTGTATTTAAAGACGTTGTTTTGGACCGAGCGTATACGTTTTGGTGATTGACATTTTGCTGTCCTCTGTTTTGAGTTAATTGTAATACTGTTTGAAGTACGAGAGCTGACCCTTTCGGGTGCAAACTTCATTTTCTCTTTTCCCTATTGGAGCCTCTATCAAACTGATTTATCCAGATATTACTGAGCAGCTCTTGTACTAGGTACCTGAGGAAGCATTATCCGATATTTTCTAAAAAATAGTACCCTCAGGCATCAACAACAGTATTATGCCACAAGGGTTTGTTCTGCTATGAATAAATCCTGATTTAAGCAACACTACATCTACTCTATAAATGTATCAATAGGTTATTGTGTCTGTAAAACAGTTGTGTTATTCAGTGAGAAGAAGGAGATGAGTACATAAAGGGAAGTTGGCATGTTGGGTTAAGGTATTTGAATATGGTATATTTTGTTCCAAGGCGACGCTTCGGTTTGCCTCTCCGTGTCTGTTTACATGTGTGTGTTATGAGAGAAGAGACAGGCTTTCCCTCCCAGTGCAGTCTAACCAGTGACTCTTTGAACAGCTTGTTAGAAAAGCTCTTAGACACACATCGTGGACACCTACACACACTTGCCAAGAAGGGAAAGTATGTGTTATGAAAACACGTTTATGATCTGATTCTGCTGTCTCCCCCCTCCTGTGTTTGCAGAGCCCCATTGGTCCAATTTGATATCACAACAGAGTGTGTTTTTGTCTATTATCCGGCGCAAACCTCATAGGAAATCAATCTCTCTTTGTAGTATGTTATATCAGATTTTTCTTAGCAAAGTTATCTCAAATTTCTCTTTGAAATATTTCTTAGAAGTTTTCTCCTCTTAAGGGTCATCACCACATCAAAAGCTTGTTTTCGGCACCCCTGAAAAAAAGTCACAGGCCTCATCTCAGCTTAAAATGTTATCTCTTTGGTCTTTAAACTGTAGCTGGCCTAATATGAATCATAATAAAATACTAAACAGTTGGTTGAGTTTTAACTCTTGAAAGTCTCAACCTCTGCTTTAAGTCCTGCCTGACTGTATGTGTGATGTCTGGTAATCTCCCACACTCAGGCTTAGTTCAAAGTATACACTTGGGCTGTTGAAAGCCCTTCACCTCAGCCACTTCCCATTTATGGAGCCATCTGCTGAATTTCACGGCAAGTCCCTGTGATGGGCCACCTCAGAGAATATGGAGAATATTAAGTGTGTTCAAAGCCCTCACTTCCACAAGTGTATGTGCTTTACACTGTGAAATGAGGCCTGCAAAAATGTAGCAGCTTAATGCAAGGAAGAGAGCGAAGGCTGAAAGACTCAACCTGACCTTTAGGAATAGGAACGGAGGGAGTAGGTGGAGAAAAGGAGGAAAGCAGGGAGGTCTGTTACTGAAACGCACATTGTTATCATGGCACAAAGCACCAAGAAAAGTCAGACTAACCGACTAAGAGGGGCAGAAAAGTAGAAAAATATTTGTTATATTTCTGTCAGGGAGCATTTGATACTTAACTGTAAGATACATTTTGTACTTAATGAGTAAGAGTGCATGGCAACATTATAGCTCTGGTTTGTTTTGACCAGCTCCCTTTTACCCTATAAGGTTTAAATTCGCCAAACATTAAAAAATGTGCACAAATTGACTTTGAATGGATTATGTTGCAGTATTTTGTGGTTTGACAAGGCCTTAAAATTATACTTCCCTAAAAACATACTTTATTATATGCAACTATGCATTGTAAAACTCATAAACAAAATAAATGAAATCATATGTGTGAGTGCAGACGGACAAAACAAAGGCTTACTTGAGAGATGAGCCTCAGGTAGGGGAAATCCACTCGGACCACCAAACATGAAACAATGATTTGGGTTTCTCATTACATTCAGACATAACCACATTCAAAGCTCAGAGGTCTTTTTGGATTATTAGTGTTTTGGTCGCTTCTCTGAATCTGAAACAGAGACTGTGAACAGATTAATATCTTCAGCTGCAGAGCTGAAGTAAATAGCCTCTGGGTGTTCTCTTTGTCTCAGAATGGGCCAACGGGATGATTACTGTCTGTGCAATGGCTTCTTTCAATATCGGTTTTGAATTTAATCGGCTTGTCTGCCCCGAAGATGACTCGGATAGAAAGAATGAAGTCATAATTACCTTCTGCCTGCGAGTGTAGGAGTGTGAGAGACAATGCAGTATGTGGTCGGATAGCAAACCTTTTTTTTTTTTACAGCTGTGTTTTGCTGATTTCTTCCTTGGAAATCGCTAAGTGTAGCATTTGGGAAATGTGAGCGTTTCAAACTGATTGAGTGCAACATACTATAAATCTGCTCTGCATGTTTACGAGTGTAAGGTCATGACAAATACTCCGGCTAGTTTTGTAATTACTTTATCTAACAGGCCTCCCCATGAGAAGCGACTATTGGATTGTTTGTGAATTATTGTTGTGAGAGGAAACAACATGACTGCAGGGTATTAAAAAGAGATTTATCGACGCGGAGTCTGCTCGCCACACTGTTGGTTCTTCTCATCACTCTGGTTCAGACCCCGCTGCACCACGAGCGGTTGATCATCACTTTGTTCCACCTCACATCATTGCTCCCATTCCTGCAGTAACACAACACACACCGGTGAGACCCATAACCATCAGCAGCACAGGTTTATGGCAGTTTTGGGAAGAAGCAAATGGTCTCAGGGAAGTATGTGCACTAATGCAAATACATGCTGAGCGAGGTTCAAACCGCGTTATCCTGTTAATGTGATGTCAATTATTCATCCTTCCAGCTTCTGACTAGAGAATTTCTTCTCAGCTATTGAGAGGTGAACAGATACCGGTTTGCCAAATAGTGTATATTTTAAATAGTAGTGGCTGAATGATATGAACGCCATGTGTAACTCACCCATTTAGCTGGCTTTAGGCACTTTCATCTGCTGCACACACACACACACACACACACACACACACACACACACACACACACACACACACACACACACACACACACACACACACACACACACACACACACACACAGCCCTGCATTCTCTCTCATCGTGTCTCTAAAATTGTGCCAATTAGCGGCTCTTTGATTCGCTACAATACGAGCTGTCTGAGCTTCCTCTCTTCTCTTTGTACTCAGGCACACATCCCACCAAACTCAAAATCTGGCAGTTAAATGTTGCCTTCCTTATCACACACCACCCTGAATAGACCTTAGAGGCTACCGTTGGGTAATGATGACTGTTATCAGGTGAAGACTTTGGAAATCCAATTTGGGGGATTGGTTTTACCTTCAGTAGAAGGATTACATTTCTTTGTAGTGAAGATAATCTTAGTGTGTTTTTTGTCCCCAGTTGCTGATAAGATGCCATTACAGGTTCATTATCCAACAGACGTGATATGATTCACTCAAATCCGTTACAGCCTTGAGAAAGTTTAGCTGGGTGAAGAGACCGCTCATTACAGTGTCAGGGACTGTAAGGGAGGAAAAGAGAGAACATTTTTGAGAAGTTTGCTTGAAAAGAGAGAAAGACGAGTAAAAGAAGATAAGGGAGTTGGTGCCAAAATGAGAAGAAAAAGCAGCAGACAGAGTTAAAGTAGGAATATAAAAGCCAGGATAGCATCCTAAAAGTAGATAGTACCACATTGAAGTTTTTTCAGGAGAAGGATGGAGCCAGAATACAAAGGCAGTGAGAGGGAGGGTGTGAACAATAAGGACAGAAAGTAGAGAGCTAGCAGAGTTGTGCAGTTATGTTGGATGATGCCAACAAGGAAGTGAAACGAGAAGGAACATTGTCATATTTTCTAAGAAGTTTAAAACTGCATTGCGACACAACCACATCTATGCACCATCGCTTTAACCATCACTCATGTAACCGCACTGTGTGAAAAATGCCACACACACCATAAAGCCTATACTTTAAACCCCGCTTAAAGAAATGTGACATTTGCAGCATGCAGACACAAATACTAACTCTGGGTTTCTGTTGGCAGGGATTCATTCATAGTTCATAGTTAAAATCACAAACGCTAGCTTAATCATGCTTCACATTCCAGCAGATCTGTCAACGAGAAGTGACCACATTCTTTCCCCCTGACCTGCAGCTGTTTAGGTCATTTAGTTTTTCACCTGTAGAGCACATACTGTACACTTGTATCAGAACAGGTACAGTAAGTTATGTTAGCATGCTGTCACCCCTTAAAAGTTGTGTAGCATTAAATCTATAAGGATATTTTCATACCATAGCATATGTTTTTCTTCCAACAGACTTGCGTCAGAATAAAAGCTTGGGTTAGTTGATGTCATCGTTGGAAAATAATTCCTTATCTGCTATTAAATAACTAGAATGAGATCTTTTTAGATTGGTTGTTTTCTCTAACGCAATATATCAGCATCTCGGAGCATGACGCATATTCATCTAACAATAATTAATAAATCCTAATTACCGCCATGATAATTGAAGTGTTTGTTCTAAATAGGAAAATGGGTTAAAGTTTTGCTTCCACCAAATCAAAAAGAAAACACAC